GCAAAAAATCTGATTTGCCGAGAATCCAACATTATTTCGTCTGATTTCAAGAAAACCCTGGAGCAAAATTTGTTTCCAAGGAATATCAACTATTTTGCACAATTTATTCTCTAACTTAAGCTACTTCATCTAGGACAAAATTCCGAAAGGTCGTTCTACTATACTTTTCACAACGTTTACACAAAGGCATTTTAAACTATCCGGGATAGATGTATCACTGATGAAAATATCTATTATTCAAATAAGTGGGTCTCAGTTATGCTTTGTTTTAGAGAGTTATTAATGTTTCTTTGGACGTCCCTGGAGTTCAGTAGTAAGTCCCCCGGAGCAGATCAACTGCAATTGATAATAAAAACGTTTTGGTGGATATACTATTGAAATCATATATAAATACAAGCGACTGTTCGAATATAAAACGTATTTTGTTAAGTTCAAACAGCTTGATAACAAATTAGGCCTTCATTATTTAAAGATTAATACCATATGATTTTTCAATCTTTCTTTATTATGTAATTTATTCGCTAAATATATCATGACATTAACATGAAAATGGAGAGCAAGTAAACTGGAACGATAACAATTTGAATTCTATACAATCTCTTAGATGACTGGAGTGTATCTGAAAAAACAAAATCATTTTTTGCAATGATTGATTTTTCTTTGGAAAAGTGATGACTTTTTTAATTATTTAACGCAATTTCTTTCGGGGACTTAACAGCCCCAGGGACGTCCCAAGAAATATTTTAAATTTCAATTGAAATAAAACAAAACAGAGATGTAAGGAAACATGGGGCAAAACGGCCCTGTTGGGCAAAATGGCCCATCGAAATATCTTTTGAACTATAAAAAGGTGGTTCTTCAAAAGTCACATAATCGAATTTTGAAATTTCCGCCACCTTGTCGACCGCCCATTTTTAACCTAGCAGCGTCTCGCTATACGTAAGAGGTAATTCTACTTTTCACTCTCTATTTTGCAAATCACCCATCCCATGAGAATCTTTAAAAATCCGGCAACAATACAATATCGTTCTGATTTAACATTTTACATAGGGTATGGATATTTATTCGTTATTTGTAAACATTTCGAGCTTCAAATATTAGGCAAAATAAAACGACTATTTGAAAATCCACATGTCTTTGGGGCAAAACGGCCCACAAAAGTTATAACATACAAAAATCGTAATACAAGAACAATTGATTTGCCACACTCTCGACATTATTTTTGGCAATTGAAGAATCACAGAAGATAGTCTTAGGCAAATATAAAACACTCGAAAAATAAATTTTTAGGGGTGTTTTGCCCCATGTTCCATTACACATTTGAAAAAAATGTTTTTCATCAATATTACAATTATTCCAGATATTTCATGATTCGTCATGTTGTAAAAATCATTCGGAGTATGGGACGTCTGCATTGTTTTCAATAACTTTCAATAACTTCGTGTTGGACCAGAACTGGCTTAAAACAAAATTCCTACAAAGGACTGATTCAGCCATTGCCCAAGATGGGTTATTTTGTCCGAGAAAAAGCAGCTTTTAAGTTAATTGTGCGAAATTATTGATATTTCTAAATGTAAAATCTCATGCTCTGGGGTCTTCCCAAAATTAAATCTCACCCCGTGCCTAAGGTTGCCAAACGTTTTGAGGGAAGTGTAACTTCACTATGACATGTTTTTAACAAGATAAGGCTCTCATGTTCACCATAACAAATATCGATTCATTTACTGCTCATATAATATAATATTATGTAGTTTTCAAATAGCACAGTAATTTAATGTTTCTGGTTATATGCATTTTTCTGCAAAATGATATTTTGGGAAATCCTGACCGGGGGTTCGTTCGAACCCACCGAACCCCCGCTGCCTACGGCTATGTGATATACTGTTATATAAAAGTGGATTTCCCCTTTTTGAAGCTTTGAACTGAATTTACACTTCTTAATGCTGAAATTGATAGTTTATCCTTACATTTTAAGAAAAAAGGTATGTCAAAGAAGATGTTAAGCAAAATGCTGCCTTGATAGCTCAGAAAAAGTTGAAATTTTCCTATTTACTCTCTACAGGCCTTGTTGCCACTTTAACTCATCAAGTCATGAGTGTCATGCAAAAATTTAGCTTTCTTTAGTAGATTATTTTAATTAGCCTATTAATTTGGGAATTCATGTGAGAGCTTGAAATAAAACACAATGTCTTTATAATATACAAATATCATTCAAAGTTATGTAGGCTTCACTTGCGGATCCAGAAGCCAACAGAGGGGGGCACATTACATGTCGGCAAAAAGATTTAAAACCAAAAATTAGGCCTATTTTTTATAATTTGGCCTAAAAAGTCCAGAAATGCTAAGTCATGTGCTCAAAATTTTTTGGGACCCTAACATTTTTTTCTGGGCCCCGATAAGGGGGGAGGGGGCATGGCCCCCCTTGGATCCCCCTGGATCTGCCAGTGAGTGCACTTACACCATGGAACTAAACATTCCTTGGACTGGGTTCGATTCTCAAACAACTTGATATTTGTATCTACATTTCAATTATCTTGAAGTTGATAATTATCCAGGCCAGGGTTACTGAACACTCCGAGGCGTACACTAATTTTAACTAAACCACATTAAAATAAGGGTCAATTTAATATATTGTATGAATATCTTTATTTTTCTATCTACAGTTAAAAAAATGCAGCAGTTTTTAAAGATTATGAGACCGATGCAGAGTTGTTGCAAGTAGCAGAAGATTCGTCAGTGGTCCTCCAAGCACTACCCGACCATCCCCTATGGTGAGATAATTATTTTAAGGATGTTCCCTGGTCAGATAGGAAAATATTCAATAGTATTTAACTTTTTCTCAAAAATGGTTTTCTGGGATTCTCACGGGCAACAAAGAATATTAAAACTTTAAAAACCATATGTTAGTGTGCTTTTTTCTGAGCAAGAGGCCTCTAAAGTGTCAATATTTGACAAAAGTGGGCGTGGCACTTTCTCATTGAAACCCATGTTAAAAATCAGGTTTTCACCCCAAAACACACTTTTGAATATTTAACTTTTTCTTAAACTCACAGAAACACTTAGTTATGCTATGTACTTCACATTTTGAAAAGAAAAATTAGGGGTTGGTGTTCATCGTTTTCAACTTCGTCCAGGGAACATCCTTAAATACATATTTAGATTATATTTGTCTCAATGTATAACTTTTAAGTATAAAATTGAAGAATATTCTGAAAAAATATTTATTGAGAAATGCAAAGGGAAAAATTTAAATTCACAATTTTTATATGTTTGTATCTACTCAAATAATTTTGTATTGTTTTATTTTTTTCAACTCTGGCACACCCAACCTGATTATGATTTCTGGTGATCCCACGCAACATGACAATGAGAAAGAATGATGGTGTATGACCCTGGCACACTCCACCCAACTTTGATTTCTGATGATGAGGCACCAAGCTGGAAGTTTAGTGTACACCAACAAACATATAATGCTACATCATGTACTTATCTTTGTTAGAAGGTCCCATGTCATTGTGAAACCGGAAAGTATTTTCAAGAAAAAGTCAAAAGTAATGTGATGTGATTATACAAATATCCTGCAAGTTGTGTAGGCTTACACCATGGAACTAATCATTCCTTGGATTGGGTTCAATTCCCAAATGACTTGATATAGTATTCACATTTCACTTTTATTTTGGCTTTTTATAGAAGCATATACATAGTTTCATCTAAAAAGTTTATTTTTTTATTTATTTATTTTCACACACTTTTACAGCAGTGGCACATGGGTCCTTAGGTCCCAGTGCGGTACAGCAGTGGCACATGGGTCCTTAGGTCCCAGTGCGGCATATTACATATTAATTTAAAAATTACATAGTATAACATTCAAATTATTTAAAGAACAGTTAAAGGGAGAATCAGATCTATTGGGAGAGACAAATTGCAAGCGACATGTACAGTTGACCTACCAATACATGTACATGTATATTCCTTTGGGCTAAAATTAAAATATGATATCTCCCTAAAGATCCATGATACCTGTATGTTATGAACTGGTGAAATTATCAATTAGGATTCAATGTGCCAAAATGGGGAAAATTGTTTAAATTCTCCCAAATAATGGTAACCATAAAATTAAAATAGAATGTATTATTGTAAAAATCCTAAAGTTTTTCTCAAATAAAACAGCTGAGCTACATGTACTTTGGAATATTGAAATAGAATATTGAAAGCCAATGAAAATAGGCATGACGACAAGGAGTGCTATGAGTCCAAAATATTTTGAAACTAAACAATTTTTGTAAAGAGTAACCATCTGGATTTTGCTAGATCTGCTTCTGCCTTTAAATGGTGCTGGAATAAAGTCCCAATGGTGCTTGATTGATGCTTGGCTGTGCTTGGCAGTGCTTGAATCACAGGGTAAGACTGGTTATTAATTGTTTTGATGTCCTTTTGGCTTAAATGAAATAAACCACTGGAAAACACCAGATAAATTTATTAAATGAATTATTTATTTAACCATATGCACTCAATGACCCCAAGGGGTTTCCCAGAGAATTCCCTCCAAAGGGTGTCAAACTAGCTCAGCGCCAAGACATCCAGGGCTACCAAATGTTGTATATTTAAGTGTCATTAGCTCAAATAATAGTTTTTTAAAGACTATCTACATGATGACATGATAGGAATACTATGAGTTGATGAACCACTGCCAGTTGCCCGGGACCAGTTATCAATGTCAACGAAAAGTCGTACAAAACGTCTGCTCCAATGAGGGGGTATGTTCTCACTTATTAATGGTGTAAATTTCACCAATTTAAGGGAAATGATACAAAGGGACCTTATATCAATATTGAAATGTAAAATAAGTAACAAAACAGCATGGTTGTGGCATATGAGAAGAATTTGTGGGACCTATGAACAATTTTACACTGACTTCCTGTGTGAGAGTAAACCGGAAGTTGATTTTACTCTCATGCGCAAGAAATGTGCGCAGGAAAATTAAGTGGGTCATCGTGTATTTGCTGACTGATGCAGAGGGCAGACGAAATTTCATAAATATTTGTATTTTTATGAGAGATCTGATAAGGTAGGTGTCTTACTTCGGTCCAAAGCCTTCTCTATATTCCGGCTTTGAGGAGGAAGATTGAGCTGCCTTAGTATTATAAATATTGTAAATCATCGTGTCACACGCACAGTAAATATACTAGTCTAAATATGGCATAATAATAGATGAAATATAGCCTACCTTTATGTATAGATTTGAAGAACATCAGCTCACATCCCCGTCTGAATCTATTGTTATATTTGATTTCTTTAAGGTCTCATGGAAGTTAACAGGAAATGACACAACAAAAAATGACAAAGCCATGCTGGATTTTGAAAATTTTTTGAACCAAGATAACAGGGTTCTGTTTGGACCTCCAGTCAGTTTAACTAGTTCCAAATATCATTTACATGACCAGGAACACAATTGAAATGGTCAGAATGACCATAAACATGAGAAAATAACCTTTTTAGCCCTCTGAAAATGTGACTGAAAAATAGCTAAAAGTAGGTGCTCAGGAAAGGTCAATAAACAGAATCTTTTGATTTTTTCAGAAAATGTGTCCAATATATTGCTCTAAATGACACAATCTTTGAAATTTTAAAAAATCGTCTGAAACAATAATGGCTGTCGTAAAAAGGAAAATAGATCGATTTTCAATTCAGTTTTTTTCAATTTTTTCTTTTTCTAAGAATGATATCAAATGTTTTTGAATTGTATCATTTAGAGCAATATATTGAGCACATTTTCTGAAAAAGTCAAAATATTCTGTTCAGTGACCTTTCCTGAGCACCTACTCTTAGCTATTTTTTAGTCACATTTTCAGAGGGCTGAAAACCCGGGGGGTTCACTATATATAAACCTTGACGGGGATCCTCGGCGCACGTGGGGTACCTTTTTCAACGTTTGGTATGGCAATGGACCCATATTTTAGGATTTGGTATGGGAATGCCCGGAAATTTCTGACTTCTGAGGTATGGCAATGGTCGGACTTTTGCTCTTCTGGTATGAGAATGGTCGTTGTAGATACGTTACCTAACATGCGTGGTATGGCATTGTTCCAGTAGTTGCAAATTTGTATGACATTGATCCTATATTTCATTTACTTTGAATTAAGGTATGGCATTGGTCCCATATTTGGACATTTGGTATGGCATTGGTCCTACATTTTGACATTTGGTATGGCATTGGTCCCATAATTGGGCATTTGGTATGGCATTGGTCCTATATTTGGACATTTGGTATGGCATTGGTCCTATATTTGGACATTTGGTATGGCCTTTGGGCTTTATTTTGGTTGGTATGGGAACATATTGAAATTTGACAGATTGGTATGGGAACATATTGATATTTGAGGCTTCAGCCTAGGACCCCCGTCGAGTTTTATATACAGTGAACCCCCCGGGGCTGAAAAGGTTATTCTATCATGTTTATGGTCATTCTGACCATTTCAACTGTGTTCCCGGTCATGTAAATGATATGTGGAACTAGTTAAACTGACTGGAGGTCCAAACAGAACTCTGTTATCTTGGTTCAAAAAATTTTCAAAATCCAGCATGGCTTTGTCATTTTTTGTTTTGTCATTTCCTGTTAACTTCCATGAGACCTTAAGCGAGAATAATTTCAAATGTTATTCACGTCCAGAACCGGAAGCCATTTTTAGCTACAGCGAGAAAATTTCACCATGTGTCAAACTCCGAAATGAAATTTTGAAATATCTAAATCCAGACAAGCAACGCTTCATCCTAAATATGATTAATATTCTTAAAAATATTTATAAAATTTATTAAAAATGAGTTCTAGGTGCGTGTAGGTGCGTGTAGCACAGTACATACGAAATCAATGAAGTTTCGTCTAGCTGTAAGCTAGAGACTCGAGTAATAGGTGTCAGGCGAGGTGCTGATTCAAAACATGGATGTTTTCTAGACCAATTAACTGTATTGAATATTGAATATGTCGGTCAATAGCGCTTGCGCCAGGCCTAATGTTTATTGTACAAAAATTATCCGACTTGAAATAAATAGATCTATTGATATGATATGATTGATATAGGCTAAGTAATAACTTTGAGTCTAATTTGTATCATTTGACTCGCCATTCAAATCGAAAATTAGCTTGATGACAAACTCGATCCCTGTGTGAAAGAAATGATGGTCCCCCAGGGATTATGGTCCCCTTTGTTAATGGCCCTTACTGGCCCCGATTGCGTATAAGGTAACGAGGGAAAGCGTTGTATTTAGGTCACCATATAAATCAATGGAAAGTAGGACCATAATTTGATAGGACCTCCTACCCTTTTACACCGGGTTACCTTCTTCTAAGGCTCGGGGGTTCACTGTGTACAAAATTTGGCCGGGGTCCTAGGCTGAACCCTCAGATATCAATATATTCCCATACAAATATAATACATGCAAACTTAAAGTAGAATTAATACAGGATAGAAAAACACAAAGTAGTATAATGAGATCCAAAGCACGGTGGTGTGAGTATGGTGAACGATCAAGCAAATACTTTCTAAATTTAGAAAAGCATAATTACTCCAATAAAGTGATAAATTCTATTTATGATAAAAGAGGTGTTTTTGTTAATGACCCCAAACAAGTATTACAAACAGAAGAATCATTTTACAAAGATTTATATAGTAAAAAGAATAATGACCCGGATGGTAAATATTCAAACATATTTTTTCAAAATGAAATTCCAACAATTGATAATATTGATAAAGAAAATTGCGACAAGAGAATTACATGTGAAGAATGTTATAAATCGTTAAAAACTTTTAAAAAGAATAAAACGCCAGGGACAGATGGTCTTACAGCTGAATTTTATTGTATCTTTTGGGATGAGATTAAACTAGAAATGACAGATAGCTTCAACTATTCACTTATAAAAGGAGAACTCTCAATTTCGCAAAATAGAGGAATTATTTCTCTTATTCCAAAAAAGGGGAAAAATAGGCAACATCTCACAAATTGGCGACCATTAACTCTTTTAAACGTGGATTATAAAATATGTACAAAAACTATTAGTGAACGTTTCAGAGATATTTTACCAAAACTGATACACAGTGACCAAGTTGGGTATGTTAAAAACAGATATATAGGACAAAGTATAAGACTAATTTATGATATGCTGGATTACACAAAGACAAACAACATTAAAGGTCTTCTTCTTTTAATTGATTATAAGAAAGCATTTGATAGCATTGACTGGAAGTTTATGATAAAAACACTAGAAAAATTCAATTTTGGGGAAACACTTATAAATTATGTTAATGCGATATATGCAAAACCACAGAGTTGTGTCATAAATAATGGATACACATCTGAATGGTTCCAATTAGAAAGGGGAGTTCGCCAAGGTGACCCACTCTCTGGGGTAATTTTTATACTTGTTGCCGAATTATTAAGTATTGCAATTAGATCTGATCGAAATGTAAAAGGAATTCCTATTAAGGATAAATATGAAGTCAAGCTTTGTCAGTATGCTGATGACACTACTATATTTTTAAATGATCAAGAGTCTGCAAATAATGCCTTAGAATTAGTGGAAAAGTTTGGTAAATGCTCTGGCTTAGAAATTAACAAAGACAAAACTGAAATAATGTGGATCGGAAGAGATAAAGGAAACAAACAAGACATAAATGGAATTAAATCAAAAACCAGTGTAAAAGCTTTGGGAATAACATTTACTTATGATATAGATGATAGAACAAAATTGAATATTGAAAAGAAAATTGATGAAATGAAAAATAAAATAAAATTATGGAATATGAGAAACTTAACACTAATAGGTAGAATTCAAATTATTAAATCTTTAGGTATTTCTCAGCTAACATATGTTAGTTCAGTTATGCATATACCACCCCAAATTTTACAAGAAATAAACAAAATTATTTTCGAATTTGTGTGGAAAAAGAAACCACCAAAAGTAAAAAGAAAATCACTTATTGCTGAAATTGAACAAGGGGGGTTAAAAATGAAAGATTATGATATTATGGATCAATCACTAAAATGCACATGGATAAAACGATTGTTAGAGAAAGGGCAGTCAGCATGGAAAGAAATTCCAAGTTTATTCATTGAACCACATGGTGGAATTGGTCTTCTCTCTCAGTGTAATTATGACATAAAGTATTTTGAAAACTATAAAGCAATTCCCAAATTTTACTTAGCAATGCTTAGAACATGGGCTGAAGTAACCCATCATGATGTCAATAATTGGAATGATGTTAAAGATGAAGTTATATGGAATAATAAAAACATTTTAGTCAATAATAAAATGGTGTACGATAAAACATGGCATCAAGCAGGTATTGCAACAATTTATGACATCCTAGACAGAGATAATAACTATTTATCCCTGACAGAACTTGAACGAAAATTCAACATTCCTATAGACTTTTTAAAGTATGCCAGCATACTCAGTGCTATTCCCAAAAAATGGAAAACTCTTAAAAATAGCACATTGAAAAACAACCCTTCAAAGAAAAATGTTCCTAACCCTAGTCAATTGTCGTGTAAAGCTATTTACAACAAAATCCTTGAAAAAGAAATCGAGAAACCCACATCACTAACAAAGTGGATACAAAATAACAATGTAAATGAAAATGACATGAAATACTATTATACACTTGCAAAAAAGGTTACATATGAAACTAAAATGTGGAGCTTTCAGTACAAAATACTTACGAATACACTAGCGTGCAACCGTAAATTAAAAATGATGAACATTTCACAGACAGACAAATGTCCATGGTGTGATGATACTCATACCATGGAGCACTTGCTGGTGAAGTGTAGAATAACAAAAGATATATGGAAGCAATTTATTGAATGGTGGAAACTAAAACTAAATAAAGAATTAAATCTAACTGAAAATGATATTTTATTAGGTATTATCGGGAATAGAGAAAAAGGGGCAGAACTAAATCTGTGCATACTAATTATGAAATATGTCATATACAAATCTTTTTTAGAAAATGAATTACCGTACTTTTTCAAATTTACCAATTATCTGAGAATATATTTGAACAGTGTTAAGCTGCTTGATCAAAAGGGTGTAGACATACATGCTTTATATAGACTTTTATGAATAAACAAATAAATTCTTATTTTACAAATTTGTGTCATAGTCAATGTATGAATAGTGGGTGAATGAATGCATGCACGAACGTAATGAATGGGTGTGAATGGAGTCAGTAAGATCATGTAATAATTTTGTGTTATTATTACTATTTAAAAATGATTTATAGACATAGTACATATATCTATATGAAAGAACTACTTGTATTTAATGAAGCTTGTACTTGAATTGTATTAAATTATTACTTGAATAAAAAAAAAAAAAAAAAAAAAAAAAAAAAAAAATAAGATATAATAAACAAATAAATATGAAAAAATAGTTAATAAAAAAATATTAAATCCAAAAAAAAAAAAAAAAAAAAAAAAAAAAAAATATTCCCATACCAAAATGTCAAATTTGGATGTGTTCCCATACCAACCGATATAGTGCCCAATGAGCCATACCAAATGCCCAAATATGAAACCAATGCCATACCAAATGTCAAAATATAGGACCAATGCCATACCAATGCCATGACTGTTCCAAAGTAGAATATTTCCTGGGAAAAAAATCTATTTATTTAAACTGAAGAAGGTCCCAAAAAGAAGGCGATCTTTGAGGAAAACGAACCAAAACAACCTCATATTAGGATATGAGGTTGTTAGGAACCATAATTGTGAGATAACATATTTTCCATGACCAATCTCATACCAGAAAGTTGAAAAATCTGACCATTTCCATCCCTCAAAAGTCATAATGAGGGGGCATTCTCATACCACATCCTAAAATTTGGGTCAATTGCACGGATAGTGGGAAGTCCTCCATCTAGGAGGTATATATTATACACCAGGTAACGCAGCTTCCATCCAAATAAAAAATATGTATTTTTAAAATAAATTATTTGTCTAGTTTTCGTTAAACAAATATTCTGAGACGCATAGGGCCTGTAGAAAACACTAAACAGAAAAATAAAAAAAATATTCATACCTCCAAATCTGCTTTATTGGTCAGATAATGCACCAAATCATAATGGTTGTTCAAAATAAAAATTTAAGGGGACGGAGCACCGTATCTCGCGAGAATAAAGCAAATCACGCACCATCTCGCGAGAATAAAGCAAATCACGCAAAGGCGCGTGATTTTTTCGACCAATCAAATAGCTTGAAATTTACCAAACCATTTCGTCCAGTGTTTCACACATGCGCAGTAGAAATTGTCAATTTACTGAGCGGACCCTTCAATGGCCTGGAGAAATTTTACTCACGATAATTGATGATTACTGAACACATATAGGCATAAGAGGTGAGCGACCCAGTTATTTTTGCGTATAAATGTTTCAAGAATAGCATGATATCAAATAATCTGTACATTATGCTACGATTCATTCAAAAATTGAATCTAGAGGACAGGTGACCATATTTTTTTCATATTTTTTTAATTTTTAGCTGCGTTACCTGGTGTATAATATATACCTCCTAGATGGAGGACTTCCCACTATCCGTGGTCAATTGCCATACCAAATGTCCAAAAAGGTACCCCATGTGCGCTGAGGATCCCCGTCAAGGTTTATATACAGTGAACCCCCCAGGTTCAAAGGCCACTGTATTGTTAGAATATAATTGTTATTTGTAGTTGCTGGCTATTGTGCACACCTGGATGATGATCTAATAGAAACCAGACAAGCCAACCACATAAGATGTCTGCTGATACATTTGCAGTTGACTCTATCCTTGATACAGCTAAGAATCTACAGCAAGGTATAGAGAAGTTATATTGGTTTACTCTAGTAGTTTGATCGGCAGGCCCGTAGCCAGGATTTGCCAAGGGGGTTCACTTTTTGAAAAATTCCAAGGGGGGTTCACTTGTGAAAATTTTGGTCCAAAAGTGGCCAAAAACACTCAAAAAGTGCTCAGAATGGTGAAAAACTGCATGATTTTGAAAGATTTTTTGGCCAGGGGGTTCGCTCGAACCCAATGAACCCCCCTGGCTACAGGCCTGATCAGGTTCACATTTCTATACAATAAAAATAGGTGGAATAGTTTTCAAGGTCCTGTGAGCTTTTTCTTAAAATGTTAAATGAAATGGAAGTGAACATCCTATCGTTAAAAAAAACAAACGGGAAATTACATTTTTTAAATTCAAGAAAATATGCCAACTATGCGACTTATCAATTAATTTGTATCAGCACTGTAGCTCAGTCAACATGCTATAATTTATTATTGTAGCTTAGCAAATACCTTATATTGCAGCTTAGACAATATTTTGTATGTATTATTGCAGCTAAGACCAAGTTTACTGAATATATCATTGCAGTTAAAACTCGATGTATCATACTCATTATTGCAACTTGTCAATGATGCTGTATTCATTATAACAGCTAGACCAAGTCAATGTGTTATATTTATTATTGCAGCTAAAAGCCAGCTTGAACAGCAGCTGAATGCATTGAGGAAGCAGAGAAGACAGTTAGATGTGACACATGGACAAGGTAAAAACAAAAATTGATGATTTTTGTACATTGTTGACCCCTTCCTTGTTACTCTCACAATGTTGTTTGTTGTGCTCTCCAGTCTCTTTTGCTAGTGCTTCTCTCTAATAACTATAAGTTATTACATGAATTTGGATTTGTACAAATAATCTTGTCTTTTATTTGAATGGCTTGTAAGGCGGTCATTAAGATTAACTTGTTTTCTGAATGAATACACAAATGAAGCATAATTTTGCGATGCGAGTAGGTAGTTACCAGTTTCACCACCAGGTGGCTGATTCGGGTCAATTAACATGGCAGATATGTAAGAAAGTTCCCTTAAACTTGAATATTATCAATTTAAGTGGCTCAATTTTCATGTAACCCTTATGTGTCTGATTCTTATACTAATGAAAATATGTCCAGTGAAGCAAAATATTATCTGTCTACTAAAAGAAAAGATATTTCATTTTTTGTGATTTTATAGCATGGGGTCTATGGGGAATCTCCTCGAGCTAGAAGTCACATTTTCAAAGAAAATTAATTTTTCAAAGTTGATAAACACTTTTTAAAACCACATTTCTAGATGTAATTGTACATGTAGATTTCAAATATGATATTACTTTGACTGAATTTTTAATGACATAAATCAAGATTATTTCTACTCGCATCTGGGTTATTACACTTTTTTTGGTTACATTCTCAGGTAAAGTTGATTTATTAAGGGAAGTCACAATGATACATGAACCATTTGGTTAGGAATTGTGTTGCTTGTTTGCACAATTCTAAACTAATGTATATTTATTTTTGAGATTTTTGATTAAATGAGTACAAGGTCTTTTTCTCTGAATGTTGCCCTTGTGTCTGTCTCATGTATCACTTGTGTATTTTATAGTTTCAAGCAAGCATGCCCAGGCAATGGACACTAACAACAAAATGAAGGGTAAGTTCTTTTTAAAAGTTCATTTGCATAATATAAATGCAGGCCCGATGCCCGGATTTTCCTGGGGAAGCAGTTTTACAAAGGGGTAGCTTTTGCCAAGGGGGGTAGCTTTTTGACAGTTATTAGTAATACAAATTATTTGAAAGGATGGTTCTCTTAAAGGCTGCTTAAAATATACATCTATGAAATATGCTCAATTAAATAAATATGTCTAGTAGTTCCACATTGTAATAAATTTTATAAAACAAAGATTAACCTCTTGAATCCCAGGCTCTAAAATCGATTGAAAATTTGAGAATTTTTCTTTTTTGCCACCTTTTGACATTTTACTCCATACCTATACAACTTTAGATGCTCAACAACCTTCAGCTCCATACTTCAGACTTCCATACAAATGTTTTGCTTAATACATGATATTACAACACCTCTAGGTGAAACATGTTTAGTTAATGAATACATAATGCAAAACTGTGAATGACATTTATTGGTATGCTGACAAATGATGACAGATGCTGGAGGTCAAGTACCCTCTTATATCATCATTAAGTAAAGACAGTTGACATTTTTGTCATTTTCATTGTTTCAGTGCATTATTAACAACTATGAGATAAGTTCTCGAAAGTATGTAGTTTTTTGCATTTTGAACAACAAACTTAACATTGTAATAAACTGTCACCCATTGAGGGAATAGTTAATGAATCTGATGAAGCAGACAACCTAAGCTGTTATCTCTATCTAATATGTATTTTAGGAAAAAAATAAATAAAGAGGAGTCTTAACAGAACATTTAAAGGATTGGATTTTAAAACTCCTTATATCTGCTAACATGGAAAATAAAAAAATATCTGACTTGTCACAGAAGGTATTGGTCATTAGTACTTTTCTTCTTCCCTGTTAGCAGGGATAACTAATTTGCAGGGACAATCTTCACTTTTTTGATATCATGTGAGCATAAATTAGCCAGTGATCATAACACTATCAAAAACATTTAATTTTGCATGTAAAGCTTCAAGAGGGACTGTCGTACAGTATATAGGAACCCTATCCAGTACAGAGAAGGAAATTCCAAGAAAGACCAGGACAAGAGTATGTTTTAAGACGCATAAAACATATGGTTGATGATAATCATGTCATGTAATCATATCATTTGCCCATCAGACAGTCAATAAAACAGTTCCTCTGGAATCTGGATACCATAAATTATTCATAACACATGTCATGATTATGTGTATTTGTAAGGCCATTATACCCTTCTAGATGCACACTAGTATATGATTTACACACTAGTGTTATTTTACATAATATACATGCAATTTCCAGTAATCATAAACAAAAGAGCTAAATCCATAAAATGAATTTCTGACATTTTTAACACAATGAGAACAAACAGCAAAACAATGACGAAAAACAGAATTGGAGCTATAATATTCATACTTCTAATCTTCTACGTCATATATAGCATACTACTTTCCGAACATGAACATTATGAGATAGGATATGTCTCCATGGATAGAGTCATTGCTGAGAATGAGACACATGGAGATTTAGATAGAAATTCAAGCTATGGAGATATTGGATCCAGTACAAGTGAATACATTAAGCAAAATAATATTCATGAACAATCTGATGTCAACAATATTTACAAAAATGATGTCAGCAATGTTCCTGATCCTGATATCAACAATATTTACATAAATGATGTCAGCAATATTCCTGAATCTGATAAAAACAGCTCTCACAAAAATGATGTCAGCAATGTTCTTGGATTTGATGTCAGCAATATTTACAAAAATGATGTCAGAAATATTCCTGAATCTGATATTAACTATATTTACAAAAATGATGTCAGCAATGTTCCTGAATCCGATGTCAACAATATTTACAAAAATGATGTCAGTAATATTCCTGAATCTGATATTAACAATATTTACAAAAATGATGTCAGTAATGTTCCTGAATCTGATATAAACAATATTTACAAAATTGATGTCAGCAATATTCCTGAAACTGAAATAAACAATATTTATAAAAATGATGTCAGAAACTTTCCTGAATCTGATGTCAACAATATTTCTGATTACAGTGTCAACAATATTCCTTATTCTGATGTAAAGAATGTTCTTCACTTGGATGTTAATGATTTTTCTAAACCTGATGTTAGTAATATTCATGAAGCTGACATCATTAATGTTTCAAACTCTGATGTCAGTGTCACTCCGGAACCCGATGCCAATAATTTTTACAAATCTGATGTCAATAATAATACTGAAGACTGGGATGTCAATAATGTCAAACCAGAACAATATGTTGTATACCAGTGTAGCAAGGACATTCCTGTACCATGTGGAGGCTGGGCAGATAGACTCAAAGGCATGTTATCCGCCTATATATGGTCAATTATGATGAACAGGACATTCCTTATGGATTACACGAATCCATGTTCTATAACCAATGTCCTTGTCCCAAATGAAATACAATGGAATCAGGATATTGAAATTGATACCATGAATGTAACTGCTGATTGGATAGGATTTGTGAACAACAAACGGGGGAGTGAATACATTGTTCGTAATAGTACAATTCATGTAAGTGAAAGATATAGGCAAGTAGATGTTTTGATGATACAGAGCAATATAGATCAGTTTAAGGACTTTGCAGGGAATGAGCTATATCATCATGATATTTGGAAACTAGGGTATAATCCTTCAGAGTTTAGGTTCATTGATAGAAGTATTAATAACCATCCAGCTGGAAATAATACACCTTTGGAAAGTTATATTGGTGTAAATGGTGATGTACCATTAGAAAACAAAAAAGTTGTCACTGAAAATACTCCATTGGAAAACTTCAGTGATGCAAAAAGTGAAACATTGTTGGAAAGCATAAGTAATACACCATTGGAAAGTAATGAACAATTAAAAAATGCTGAGCATATACCAATTAGAAGCGACTCAGGCATGACTACAAATGCACAACCAATGGAAAGCACCACTAGTGCTCAAACCAACATACCATTTAAAAGTCAAAGGGCTCACCAAATTTTCACCCATTTCTATGATAAGTTATTCAAACTAAACTCCTCTCTCCAAGCTGAATTGAATTCTTTTATGCAGGTGGCCAAACCAGACCAAGGTTCAACCCTTTTGTGTGGCCAGGTCCGTATAGGCACCAATCCAACAATACCAATTGATTATGGCCCCCGAAATGACATATCAACCATAGAAAAAGTTTGGGACTTCCTACATGGTAAAGTAAATGAGAATCCATCAACAACAAAAGTTTTTATCACAACTGATTCTGAGGAAGTTAGAAAGATGGCGCTGCTGGAATTCCCTGATATTATACTGGATACAGAAGGTCCCATAACACATACTGATCTCACTGAAGACAAAAACTCAGCTTGTATCGGTTTGAAAAAGGTGGCCCTTGATTTCCATATTCTTGGATTGTGTGACATTCTTCTTATCAGCTATAGTGGCTATGGGGAACTTGCCTCTTATAGGAAAACTAATTATTCAGATATATATCAATTTAAAGGTGGAACAATTACCAGAATTGTTTAGAAATTATAGAATCTAAAATAAAAATTAGGATAATAAAATCTGTATATCTGAACACCTCTGTAATCGGAACACAAGTAATATGAACACTTTTTCTCTGTTTCAATCACGTAATCTCCTTTTGACTCCCTCGTTAAAGAAACACTTTTGGCAGGTCCAAATGATGATTGAATCAGGCAGGTTTACTGCATAGATAATAAATTAAAGCATATTGTAAATATAAATTTCTCATGTTATTTTGCTAAATCCCACTGGAAGTTCTTACATGTATCTTGAGTTCCCTTAAAATGAGAGTACAGGTACTTTGTTTAACTATATTTAACTTGGGTATATGTGCTTTACTTGCATTGATGAAGAGGGGGGAGGGTGAAGTTACCACCGTGCTTGACTTTGTACACCCCCCCCCCTATTGACCAAATCTTCTTTTGAGTATTTGTTTTGAGTATGTATATATGTATGTTACATCAATATCATGTGTATTGAATCATGAATATGAAATTATATAAGTTACCACAATGCTTGACTTTGTTACACTCTTCTATTGACTAGAGACACTAAAGGTTGCTCAACATAAGGTATCTCAGACACAGTCACAGGCTGAAAGGTGATCTTAATTTTAGTGCATTCAATGTTCTTTTGTTTCTCTGTTTGTTTGTTTTCTTGATTGTTGTTATTTGTATTTACAAATGGAGTGCACCATGACAGATCACCATCTGGCGTCTGAGTCACAGGATCAGGAGTTGAGGACAGCTGCTCAATACATATTCTGTGCTTCCCTAAATCCACTTAAAAACAATGTAGTTTGTTACCTTAAATTCTGTTATGAGCTCATTGGCTTTAGGGTATGTAGGGTAAAATTTAATTCTATTTGATAGAAGATATTACCATCATATTAATTATGTCACCACCAGAAGTGGTGACATATTGTTATAGTCTCTTACTTTTTGTGGATGGTGTTTGGCAGTTGGTGTTAGGCATTCAGCCATTGGCATCTGTAACAATGGCAGGTGATGACATTTTGTACTTCTCAGCTTCCAAATCATTGTGAATAGGCTTAATCAAATGTCAATTGTAATTGTAGTCTAGAACAGCTGAGTGCCAATAGGAGGTCCAAGCTCCAAGAGTTGAATGACAAGATTGATGAGTGCACTAAAAATCAAGACAATTACATGTAAGTATAAATGTACAATAAAAGATTACAATATTGTAATGATGTCACCAATGTAATGAACCTATTGTACAGGGTGGGCAAAATATGTCCATATTTCTATTATTCTATTCTATTATCCTTTTAAATAATGCATAAGATTTTCAAAATATTTTTGGTGGAGATGAATCATTTTTGCAATTGTTCAACAAAAATGGGATTAATAAATATTAATTATTAATATTATCCTTGTGGTAGGTTTAATATGCAGAGACACATGCATAAAGGCCTCCCTTCTTACCCTCTATGGACCATTTATTGAAAAATTCAACAAACTTGTCTTTGGCAATACAGAAACCACATGTTACATTTATGCTTCAAATGTTATTTTAGTAAGTATGTTTTCTAACCTGCTTCGCCCCATTGTATCTTTTCTATTTCCTGTATTCCTTGTATACATTCAGTTATAAATTGTGTTTCCAGTAAGAACTATGAGAGCCAACTCTCCAGGCTAACTGAGTGCTTCTCTGGTGCTCAACTCGTATATGTAAGTAAACATGACTTAGTTAGACTAAAATGTCAATTTTTTCTGGAAAACCATTTTGTTATGTCAAAAAAGACAAGCTCAAGTGGTGACTATATCATGATTATTTCTTTCATGTAACATCCGAAATGACAAGCTATTTGATAAAAATATGTTTTGTTTAGTGGGATTTTCTTCTTCATGAGTTGCGGTTTTCTAGTTTTGCTTTTATTTTGAACAGGCCCCAGAGAATGTTGCATCAGAGATTCTCAACACAGAAGAAGCAACTGGAGAAAAGTCAGCTGATGGTAAATTAAACTATATTTTGGTGACACTCAGCCCCATTCAATGAAATATGATTATCCTACATATATAGCAAAATGAGATATACATCTCTGTAGCGTTTGCTTTAACATGTCATTGACACAGAGGACTTATGTCATAAATTGATGATATTGATAGATACATGTAACTGTCTGGACTTACCTTTATGAAAAATCATTCTCAGATTTGCATTCAACTGTTCAACTACGTTTGGTTCACTTTCTAAATTTATGTCCATAAATTGATGTTATAGAAACATTTCGTTTGACAGTTTTTCTCTGAAAAAGTCATTGTTTGTAAACAGCTTTTGGTTCATTTTTTAGCTGGAAAGAAAAATGAGGAATTGATTAAAGTCCTGGCTAATGTGGATGAACTGAAGAACAGCCTAGAGGCTAAACCAAAACCGGAGATATCTGCTCTTATTCAAAGATATATCATGTAAGTATATTTTTGAATGTTCTTTATTTGGAGCTACTTAGTTCAGGATCTAAAAGTAGGTCAAGCAAATTCTAAATAAGGGATGAAAATATGAGTTAAGTCACTTACATGTACCTCATACCTAACCAGCCCCTTGTAATTTTATGATTTTACAGAATGATACATGTGCAAAAGATTGTAAGACTTCATGCTTCAATATTTTCCACCCATTGCATGCTATATTGTGATCGGCAGACTTCCAATTTCTGTATGCAGATTGCTTTCAAAATCAGGGATGTTTCTTTGTATACAAATCTAAAATGATTAGTTTTTGAGCATTCCGGTCAAATGTTGTTCACCATGTCTTGTAATTTATATTTTCAGAAACTCCCTTGAGAGCGAACATGATAGTCTGAATAACAAAGTGACATCGTATGCAACACAGTTGAACATTACCAACCAGTCTATAGACAAATTGAAACAATGGAAACCACCAAATGATGAGGTGTATGGGCTACCTAATGTTAGCTGCTAGGCTTGTTATCTCAAACTGTATAATAACAAGTCTATAGACAATATGAGACAATGAAAACCACCAAAGAGGTGTATTGACTACCTAATGTTAGCTGCTAGACTTGTTATTTCAAACTGCAGAACAATTTGTGTAAGTCCATAGACAATATGAGACAATGGAAAACAACAATGAATAGATGTGTCCTGCTATCATATCTATGAAGACCTAATTCGAGACAGTTTTTATCTAGTTTACTGGTAAATAGAATTAGAAATGTTAGTTTTCTTGGTTTTGATATTTCATTTATGAAGCAGTTGTAAAGTGGTTCTTACTACTGTAGCAAAACGTATCAGAGTATTTAGGGCAGTTACATGTATAAATTAAAATAATTGTTTAAATATAATTTATTTAATCTATAGATATTCATTTTGTTTCACTTTTTAAAAAAATGTTTTTATTATGACAATTTACATATCTGACATGTTTTTATTGTGACAATATTCACAATTACTTTTTCATGCCTAAGAAATCCATGATATCTTGGCATGTTTGGTCTCCTCAATTAAATATCCTATTGTATTGTCATACAGGTACTGTACTGTACAATGTAAAATTCAGTGATCTCCCCAATTAAATCCTCACACACACTTGAAATTGAGAAGAAGAAAAATGCCGTCTTTATATTCAATTTACGTTATTTTCTTGTTCTTTGTTGAACCAAAGTCTGGCAGTGTCTTAGAAGCATTCTCTTTCCAGCCAATGAAATCAAAAACCTTGTGATCCATTTTGCACTTTCACAACACATCACATTTTTTGTTTTTATGACGACTTGTTCCACTATCCTTTAGATCTGACTCAAGGCATACAACCCATCAGCGCAGTCCATGAGTCGTTGTTTATACTCTAAATCCTAAAATTAAATTGTCAATAAATTATGTATTAGCCTACTTTTGCAAGACTTTCAGTCTGGGGTTGCCAAGGATTAAAAATCTACCAAGTCGATAGCTTTTCATTTGAAAATAACAATAGCTGCAATATGATATTCAATGCAATCAGAATAAGAAAGATCATCACGTCTGCAACATGGCGTGTTATCTTGTTTCATTACATTACCTCATGCCCGTAGCCAGCTTTTTGTAAGGGGGGGCTCGACCCCCCCCCAAAAAAAATCCCCATGCTAAACCAAGCCCCTTTGTATTGTAAAGGACAGTGGCAGATCCGGAACCTAACAAGGGGGTACCCACACTTCAAGTCAGGAAAAAATATCCGCGCTTGCGCAGAAAAACTTTTAAGGGCCCTAAAACCAAAATTTGGACCAAAAATTAGAAAATGTATGGCCCATTCTTTGAAAATTTGGCCTCAAATTGAAAAAATAAGGCCCAAAAGGTCAAGTTATGCCCAAAAAGGCCCACTAAAGAAGCCCTACAATATTTTTGGGCCAACATTTTTTCTGGGCCCATCCTATGGCCGCGCGGAAAAGCTTTTAGGGCCCTAGAACCAAACTTTTAAGAATTTATGGCCCATTTTTTAAAAATTTGGTCTAAAATTGAAAAAATGGCCCAAAAAGGTCAAGTAAAGGCCAACTAAAGAGGCCCTACAATGATTTTGGCCCAACATTCTTTTCTGGGCCCATTCTGGGCACGCGTAAAATTTTTAGTGCCCTAAAACCAAAATTTTGCAAATACCTGTTTTTGAAAATTTGGCCTAACATTGAAAAAAATAAGGCCCTACAAGGTCAAGTAATGCCAAAAAAGGTCCTCTAAAGAGGCCCTACAATATTTTTGGGCCAACGTTTTTTCTGGGCCCATCCTAGGGAGTTGGCCCCATGCCCCCCCCCCTTCCCAGAACCGCCAGGAGGCCATTTTTAACAAAACACAAAGGACGATACTAAAAAACAGAGGGAAAGGGGCACAAATACATGTATGTCCGCGAAAAAAATTGGGCCAAATTTTGAAAAATAATGCCCAAATTCGAAAAACAATGCACAGTAGTGCCAGTTTTTTTAATCTTAATTGCCCAGTGAATGTGGGGAAGAGCAAGTTTTTCTTCAAGGAAGCAAAAAGGTAGGTCCACATTTTTTTAGGAGATATCAGGGGGGGGGGCTCGTCCGAGCCCCCAGAGCCCCCCCCTGGCTACGGGCCTGTACCTTGATTTAGGTATAATAAGTGGTAACTGGTCAACTCAACCCCAAGTCAACTCAACCCTTAGTCAAGTCGACCCCAAGTCATCTCGACCCTTAGTCAACTCGACCCCAAGTCATCTCAACCCTTGGTCATCTCAACCCTTAGTCAACTCGACCCCACCATAAAAAAACAAATAGATATACTATTTTCATGGTATGATATTGATGAATTTTGAAAGAATGAGGGACTAAAATGCTAATTTTCCAAAATAAAATTATCAACTATTGAAGTTTGTGCTTAACACATTTATAATTTTTATAAATATGACATTTATTTACCAAAATAATATTTGATTAATCTTAATAGGGCTATTCACGATGCTATACACATATTTCACCCCTTCATATTTGAGCTTGTTTTATCTCTCTGAAATAAAAAAATTATCTACAGGGTGTCCCGAAAGTATGCCCCCCCCCCTAGGCAGACATATACCAGTGTCGTCATAGTATGTGTCCTATATCATTTTAAAGCTTATCCAAAGTTACATTGATTCACCAAGTATCATGGTTCAACTCTCAAATGTGAAAAAAATACAGGCATTTCAAAATTTAGTGTTTGGTCAAAATTAAGTTCAATTTTACACCAAATCACTCGTCAGTGTGTCCTCCTGGGCCATCTAAAACAGCAGCAATCTTTATCCGGTCGGATGGATATTGAGTTGGAAAAAGAGAACGGTGAGGGTAGAAACTCTAAGGAAACTCTTCTAAAGTGCCTTAACAGGTTTTAAGAAGGTTATAAAATTCCACACCGCTATTTAAAGGGCTTTTAAGGTCATATCTGAAAATAATTGCGGGTGTTAACATGGCCAAGGGGGGACTCATTGACTAGTAATGTGGTGTAAAATTGAACTTTATTTTGACAAAACACTAACTTTTAAAATGACTGTAACTTTTTACCATTTGGGAGTTAAACCATGATACTTGGCAAATCAATGTAACTTTGGATAAGCTTTAAAATGATATATGACACATACTATGAGGACACTGGAATATGTCTGCCTAGGGGGGGGGGGGCATACTTTCGGGACACCCTGTATACACTTTTCTGTTATAACGAAATTGTTGCAACAGTATTTTTGACAACAGGTAACTTATGCAACATGTGCATTGTGCCAACATCCATCCATTACTTTGTATTGAATGATTTTATATTTTGATAATAATAATAATAAACAATAAACAATATGATATAGTTCAAATCTTCCTTCTGATCTATAGGCGATAGAAATGTTTATTTTTTTGAAGCTAGATTTTAAAACAAGACTGAACAAACAATGGGATTTATGATTTTACAATTTCCATTAATTCCAATCAATACCCATGCCAGGTGTCATAAATAACAAGATTAGGATTTTATAACAATAAATAATATGATTTTACAATTTCCATTAATTCCAATCAATACCCAATAAAGCATGCCAATAGTTTCATAAAAAGCTCGTCGAATATAGAGGTTTTGAATGAGTATAAAAATTGCATTGTAAGAATTCATCGGAAAGAAATAGGATTGTCATGAAATAAAATCAGAAAAATAGGAAAAGCCCGCTAAATATACTGCAAAATATTTTTTAAAGTTACATTCAATTTTTCTTTATTTCCTCTTCAATCTAGCCTTGCCCATGTTGGTCCCTTTTACTTATCTTGATTTCTATTATGACCGCCGGTAATAATTCAAGATCAAATAAGTGAAAAAATACCGACTTGGGCAAGGCTATCTTCAATCTCATAGATCACTTACTTTATAATTGCACACTGGTACACCTTGAAATCCATAGAGTGCACCAAACCAGCAGCAAGCCATTACACCCGTGCTATCAGAGTCACCACCATGTAATGCACCACTAAAGTATAAAAATAAACTCATGTAAAATACAGAATAACCCCAACTTAAATACTGATATTTTGACCTGGCCCCTCAATTTTATGGTAACGTATTCACAAAGTTTCACCCAGTTGCTACCAGCAGAGTAAGGCATCATAGGCGATCATTGGAGCGTCATGGCCACTGGTCCCTTACATGTATACTTACTGTTCACATAGTTTCACCCAGTCACTTCCAGCACAGTAGAGTAAAGCATCATGGCGATCATTGAAGCATAATGACCACTGGCCCCTTACACTTACTGTTCACATAGTTTCACCATGGGCATGTTTCACATAGTTTCACCCAGTCGATACCAGCACAGAGTAGAAAATCATAGGCGATCATTGGAACATGACCACTCGCCCCTTATACTTACTGTTCACATCGTTTCACCCAGTCACTCGCAGCACAGAGTAAGGCATCATAGGCGATAATTGGAGCATCATGGCCACTGACCCCTTATACTCACAGTACTGTTCACATAGTTTCACCCAGTCACTCGCAGCACAGAGTAAGGCATCATAGGCGATAATTGGAGCATCATGGCCACTGGCCCCTTATACTTACAGTACTGTTCACATAGTTTCACCCAGTCACTCGCAGCACAGAGTAAGGCATCATAGGCGATAATTGGAACATCATGGCCACTGACCCCTTATACTCACAGTACTGTTCACATCGTTTTGTGACGAAGTCATAGCTGACCTCGTTGGTCAGTCTACTTGTTTCACTTCACATCAGTTGATGTCACAATGATCTTATTCTGTTACTCATATTTATAATTATTGCGTTATTTTGATTAGTTTATATTTGTATTATAACCATTGTTTTGGGGATCTTTGAACTCAGTGTGATATTTCACAAATCAACTGTTTAATTTCCTATGTTTTATCATCATATTAGAGCAGTTTTTAGGCATGAAATATATCTAGAGCCAATCAAACGAACGGATTATTCTTGAGATATGAGTGGCAGAAATGATATATGAAGTCAACTGATGGGAAATTTTGCAATGTTTAGTTAAGATGTTTATAAGTTTGGATAGTTTTTGGCATCATCTTGAAGACTGCAAATTTCTGATAAACAAAGTAAAAAGCGATTAAACCTAACGACCTGGAGTACAACTGACCAAAACATCAATACTGCTGTATATACTTTGCAAATGTTTATACCTTTGTAATCTACATCACATTTTACGAATAATTGTATACTTTTTAGGGTGAAAATTGACGTATAAATATGTGTTTTGGACATAAATTAGATAATGAACTAAATTAGATAATTAGATTAAGCATCCAGAGTTCATGAGACGAGGCTCAGAGGTTTTGTCTAGACATTCCTTTCCCACCAAATTCTGCCAAATTCTCAAACTTTCGGTAAACATTCAAGATTCGTGGGCAGAAAATCATCACTATTCCTTATTGACTTTCTATAAAATTAAACATTCATTTTTCGGCCAATTTTAGTTAATGAGATTTCTTCATATTTTATTGAATAAGACCTCTTATTTCGGCTCTGCCCACCTCAAAATTAACATTATAAAAGAGGCATTTTTAGCATTGAAACCTCAGAACCTCGTTGCGTGAACTCGGGACTAACCAAAAACTGTAAGTAACTGATTGAAATGATATTTTTGGACTTTTCTTTAATAAATTTATATTTTAAACTATATTTGTTTTCATGTTTTGTAAAAGATAGAGAGACTCAACTTCGCCACAGTTTCACCCAGTCACTCGCAGCACAGAGTAAGGCATCATAGGCGATAATTGGAGCATCATGGCCACTGGCCCCTTATACTTACAGTACTGTTCAGATAGTTTCACCCAGTCACTCGCAGCACGGAGTAAGGCATCATAGGCGATCATTGGAGCATCATGGCCACTGGCCCCCTATACTTACTGTTCACATAGTTTCACCCAGTCGATACCAGCACAGAGTAAAGCATCATAGGCGATCATTGGAGCGTCGTGGCCACTGGCCCCTTATACTTACAGTACTGTTCACCTAGGTAACCGGTCGGATGATTGTGTGACATTCTCCCCGATTCCATGGCAACGGCAATCAGTTGACCAATATCTTCTTCTCTGTAAATATAACAAGGAATTCAGAGCTTAAATGTCTTAACTCAAGACTTCTTACTTGATCATGAATGAATAAACGCCGGATTTCATTTGTTTCGAACCCACGACCTTATGGTTACTGCATTAGCACCCATTTAGCATGTTTAGTACTCTGGACCGCTCAGCTAAATAAATACCCCCTCCCTAAAGCGTTTTTCCATTTCCAAATCATCTTTCATGTTTTAATCAATTTTTTCAAATGTGTAATAAATATAACGATATGCTACAGGTAATGTATGACTATACTTTTAAGCATGTTCAAAGCACTTACTTTGGATAACGCAGTCCTATACACATTGCTCGCATAGAGGCCCCACATCCTACTCCCCTAACATTATAAACAACATTTAATAGTAATTCACACATAGCTAGGCAAGGTGTGTCCGATTCTTGCCAATCCGAACACAGCATTTCGCATGACAACAGTGCGTGAAATAATCAATAACGCATTTGTTGTCTACGGTTGTCAAGGTGAGGAGATTAAAAGTCATGCTTTGCCAGATCAACTTGACCCTTGCAAAAAGTTTCATTGAAAACATGTTCTTTCTGATTTTGTATATTTTATGTGAGTTTGTAGAAAATATTTTGCAATGTGTGAAAATAATTTAAGCCCAAGACTCAATGCATCGTAGCTGTTTCATTCAACGCAAGCGTTGTTTTCTAAACTTTGCATTCCCGCTGCGCAGTCATGCAACGATTTGGAATTTACACCTTCATGGTACGATTCAGCAAATAATGTATCTAGTCCAGTGCTTAAATCCTTAAACAATTGTTGCCTGACATTAGGAACACAGAAATGAAACATCTGCTAATCTACAAGTGCGTTCCAAAAAACGCAACAAAGAAAAACATTGTAAAATCACAAAAGCAGTGATGATAACATCAATTTCATTTAGTTTATAATGAAGCCACGTGTCTCCCCTTTCCAATGATATGTCATTTTTTCATATCTGATTATGGACCACTGAAAAATCATTGTTTTTTCTTACATGGGTGAAAAGGCCTTTGTGCCAAGTTATGAAATATTAATCAACTGATCCTTGTTGTGCGAATCAGGTAAATCATAATGTAATTGGCACTGGGGATTAAATTTTTGTCACAAGATTTACATACCATAAGTTTCTGTTTTAGATTTACTAAGAAAAAAAGAAAAAATGAAAAAGAATTAACTTCAAGTGTTCATCACTATCCTTGTTGGTTTAGTTAACGAAACGTATGGAAAAAGTGGCATCTTATGTCTTTGTTGCGTTTTTATGGGACGCATTGTATATTGTAAATGAAATATAATTTAAGAGTAAAACGTGTTATTTTTGTAGTGTTTTAGAACAGAAATAGCCCTTACCTAGGGTTGAAGGGTATATTTAAACCACCCTTTTCAAGAGGGCGTAGACTACTTAGCCCTACTTTACATGTAAGACCTACAGAAGAAGGGGACAACGTATAAACTGATATTACGTATTTAAACAGTACATCTTTACTTTAAACGATGAGGAAGCTTTGGCTAGCAGTGAGGTACCATGTTAAATAAGGTTTCAAACAAACGTCAACCATAAGTTTGTTTAAAAAATCTTGCCTCTTTAGAATAAGTATTACCAGGTGCTCTGCCCTTCATATCACGCATACATTCTTTGTATTTAGTTCCAAGATCAACATACAATAAGCCTACATCATCTCTTGTTCCATGTTGAATCAAAGCTAAAACGAAAACGTGTTAAAACGATATAACTTTACAGAAATTCTTAAATAGAGTATAGTATCAAAGCATGTTTGAAAGATTTTTGGTGGTCAACCCACGCCACTTGTGCACTATGTGGGATTTGGCCTTGTACATATACTCAGGTTGTTCTTCAAATCTTACCTTGCTTATAATGATCTATATTTGTGGACCTACAACGAGTTCAACATGTTCTATAGCTCCAGGTGTTTGTGTTTAATTCCATATTTTGTGCTTTGCCGGTATTATCTATCCGTTCGAGTGGGTCACCATTACCAATGATTACAGCAGCGCCAAAATGGCCTTAAAACGCCAAATACCTAGATATCAATATTGGGCCTTGGAATGACCTTGACCCACAAATTTGACTTCATGTTAACCAATCATCAATAATCAGATGAAGTACTCCCTGGAACTAACATATATTAAGAAAGCAATAGACTGAAATGTACTAATTTTTCATCAGGTCGAAATAAGATTTTCTGATTTCCTAGTATTTTCAAGACTTAGTCAAATTTCTCAACAACTAGTCGATGTATTGCTTCCATTGTTTTTTACCCTGATTTTTTACTTGTTGAATATGTATGTAGATTATGGGAATGACCCAACGTATTAAAGTATAAAAATAATTTTTTCAATGATATGTATGTGGATCATGGGGATGATCTATCGTATTAAAGCACAAACTTTTTTATGTTTCAATAATGACCTTCCTTTTCTTAAAAGATGTGATCTGACGCACATGAGGGCTCTAACAAGCCCCTAAGTGATGACCCAAGGTTGAACGATCAAGGAGATATCCGGACATGCAGAGTGAGGGACAGAAGGACGACCGTGCTTTATAGTAAGATGCTTTCTGTCACGTAGGATACCATGATACCATGGCCATTGCCAATATAATATGTATTCAGTAAACAAACAATGATAATCTGTAAATAACATGTGAAAATAAATATATATATAAAAAATATTGGCGAATATATGTCAAAATGATCTTAGGCTCGTAAATCTATTCACACGTTTGCATACCTTCAGCAGTTGCAATGTGCATGACTGTAAATAGCAAAGTCAGCTAGTCGTGCCCTGGCAGTGTTAACATGTAAATTCAAAGCTGCAGGCGGAATGGACTATGCAGTTTATACAAAGCTATATGATACAATAGTTCAGCCAATCATAAATTATGGTACCTCAATCATTGGTCTAAATGAGCATCGCTGTATCAATAATGTACAAAATAAAGCAACAAAAATATTCCTAGGAGTAGGCCAAAAGACAAGCAATGAAGGAGCGAGAGGTGACATGGGATGGAGCCCTCCTATCCACAAGCAAAAGTTGGAGTGTGCCCGACTATATTTGCGACTCCACAATATGGAAAATACCAGACTAAATAACCGGATACATATATGGTCACTACGAAGAAAATCAAGCTGGAATTTCCGCACAAAACATTTCATTGAATCTTGTGGTATACTTCTGAACAATCAGTACATTGAGATAAAACCATGTATTAAAGCTATTAAATATCACCTCCAAACTATTGATCCTTTTCTTCGAAATATCTGGAACGATAAAAATAATGAAACAAATGGCAACAAACTTAGAACATATCGTCAATTTAAATATGGTGCATCAACCGAAGCGTACATTGAAATGTTTATGCCTCGCCATCATAGAAGTATCCTTGCAAAACTAAGAACTGGAGCATTAAAACTGAACATTGAAACAGGCCGTTATACCAATACACCCCTAGAGGAACGAAAATGTGCTTTATGTGACACTAATGAGATTGAGGATGAGATACACTTCACTCTCAGGTGCTCTCACTACAATGATTTGAGAAATAATTTTCTAGCTTCTGTTAATACACTGGCCCCTAACATTGATACTGGTACAAATGATCATATTATGCTGTTCTCTAGACTTATGCACACACCCTGTATACAGAGAACCTTTGCAAGTACACTGTTTAAGATGTTCAGTAAAAGGAACTTTGATCTAGAAAGACTTTAACAGAACCTATATTTGTAATTACTCAAGAATAGCAAACTAATGAATTGTCTCATATTCTATTTTGTTATAAGCACAGAAATGTTATCTGTCAATGGTCAGTTATATATTTATATAGTATGACTGGATGGAGGCCATATAAAATCGATTTTGCCACTTTACAGCACCTTTTACTCACTATTTAGAATTGTGATACTGTCATAATGTATAAATGATGCATAAATATTTCCATAATAATGTATAACATAATAGCAACTCTGTAAATCTACTACATTGGGGGGACCCCTTTGGGGGTATTGGACCAACCAGAGGGCCCTCACATCACCAATTGATCATGGTTTCTTTTTCCACTTATCTACAGGAACATCAACCTTGGGGAAGATGTCTCCTTTCAGTATAAGTAAAGGAACAATGAACTTTGTATACATGGTCTCTATGACTGTTTATTTTGCATTTAGTAAGTTTACATTGAAAATTGAATATTTTGTTGAAAAATGAATATTTTGTATACATGTACCATATGGTGTCTCATAAGCCGGCATCGGCTGGAAGCAAATGTTTTTAAAATGTTTTAAATGTATTTTAACATGCTTGTGACACAAAAATAAACTATATTAAACTTAAACTAAACTGTATCGTCACTGACCTTCCAATCGGGTACTGAAATAAAAAGGAATACTAATTTTTTTCAATAAACCTGGCACCTTTTGGTATACTGTACGTATTTGAAATAAGCTATGATATATTGTCTAGATTGGGAATGGGTTGTCTAGGGGATGAGTTGTCCAGGGGATGAGTTGACTAGGGGATGAGTTGTCCAAGGATGAGTTGTCTAGGGGATGAGTTGTCCAGGGGATGAGCTGTCTAGGGGATGAGTTGTCCAAGGATGAGTTGTCTAGGGGATGAGTTGTCCAGTGGATGAGTTGTTCAGGGGATGAGTTGTCAAGGGGATGAGTTGTCCAAGGATGAGTTGTCTAGGGGATGAGTTGTCCAGGGGATGAGTTGTCCAGGGGATGAGTTGTCCAGGGGATGAGTTGTCTAGGGGATGAGTTGTCCAAGGATGAGTTGTCTAGGGGATGAGTTGTCCAGGGATGAGTTGTCTAGGGGATGAGTTGTCCGGTTACCGATTGATGATGTCATAGATTGTACTTTTTCAGGATTAGCAATAAGTTAATTCTGTTTTTGCTTCGACAGATTGCTACTTCAACCAATGACATCATCAATTTAGTCAATATAGTTTCTTTGATGTACCAAAAGGTGGCAGGGTTTATTGGAAAGGTCTATCGAAAAGTGTAAGAAATACAATGTAGATGGAAAACAAAAAGTGCATTTTCAAAATGTTAAACAACTGATTAGGTGATATGATTGCTAGATCAAGTCAATCGACAAAAATCGTCGATGATCAAGTACATACACTTTATCTCAATATTTTCAACTCCTCCTAAACTTTTCAATTCTTCGTGTATGGTTTTTCCAAAAATGCAGAATTCCCAGGATCCATTTCTGTAGCCCAATGCATCGCCAACTCCGCTGAGGACCATGGCGGCTTCATATCTGACTTTCATCGGGACCTTTGACATTTCTACCATATCACTCATTTCCCACTGTAATATTTCAAAACAAAACTGAAAATTCTACTATTAATAAATTAAAAAGACGGAAAATTCTGATTTACAGACATCAAATAAGAGAATAAGAAGAATAGAAACCTGGAAGATCCAATTTAATCATTGCAGATGAACTAGTCTAACATAATTTCTGGCAAAGATAATCTAAAGGATTGTTTGAGATGGACAGATGATTTATTAATTCAGGACTCGGTCTCAGAACACACTTGGAAGTTGGAATATAATATTAATATCCACACATTTTCCGTTAAAGGTGATACATTTGAGCGTCTATGCCCAAATCATTAGTTTCACGTTTTGGATTGGTCATATCGCGCGTCATGTGTTTTAAATCATTGTCTCTAAATAGTAAGATTGTTTGCAATTTTTACAATTATTGCTATATTTTAAGATTCTAGTGGTTTTTAGATTTTTAATTAAAGTATTTATTTCTTTAAATTTCTTTTAAAATTTCTTTAATTAAAGTATTTATTTCTTTAAATAATATTGGGGATATTATCCACAAAATAGGAACTTACAGAATAAAGTGATTTAAGTCGCCTACCCTACCCCCTCAGTCCTACCCTATGATAAAAATCTACAAAACAGTAATAATACACTTTGTGTCAGAATGGAAATAATATACCTATATTACCTTATACAAAATCGTAAAAATCAACTGTAGTCCTGGCAGGTCTAAGTTTAAACTGTTGCAGTCTTCTCAGGTATTGATGTATCTATTTGAAGTGAAATAATAGTTTAATTGTTTCTCAAACGTTATTTTATGTCTATACTAATACTGCATTACCAAGAGATAAACTCTCTAGATACAACCAAAGATGACTTGTGTCACGTATTCAAAAGTATGCCTTTATAGAATGTGAACAAAATCATTGGGTAGAAAAGTTCATTATGACTTTTTATGCGTATGTATGGATTCATTACAAAATAAACAAATAATTTTATTTTCATATCTTTCTACGTCCCTGTTTCCTAGTATACGTTTACTGTTAATGGTGTACTGGTCACTAGATTAGAATACCCAAATACATATTTTTACCATTCGAATAGGCTATTACCTCAACTTGGTCCCCTGTATTCGGCTATTTGTTTCACCCTTGTTGCAGTGGCACACCTGGAAGAACAGTGGTAAGCAGTAACCTGACCATTATTTCTCCAAAAGCTCTCACCATTTTTTAGGAAGAAGCTATATTAAATCGATCTGCTATACAAGTTCCACTGATAAATAATTTCACATGATCTACGCCTAAATGTTTTGATCGACTCTAAGTTTAAAGATTTTTCTGCAACGCACTATAAATACAGGGAAGCACTAAAACAATAGAAAACTATAAACGGTTCTCTGCATATAAAGCATACATTATTCAGTAAAATGCCGATACACTACCTTAGAAACAGACACTGTTGCGGCACAGCTCATCCATTACTTCGTTGCCTCTTAAACCAGGAAGTAGTTCTACTGAATCAAACCTTTGAATGTGAATGGACGCTTTATACTTTTACCGTTAAATATTATTAAAATATATAGGCCTACTCAGCATCCATAAACTGTTTTTAGTTTTACAATATATAGATACCTGTAACACGAGGGGTGGTCCAAAAGTATTGGACGCCCCGCTCTAACTTTGCTATTTTTTAATATGATTACATGAAACTTTCAGATAATTAAGATAAACATCTTAACAACTTTGTGTATAAGTTTCAACAGAAAATATTATATTTTAGCTACTTTTCTAAATATTTTTTCATACCGGGTCCCTGCTACCCGGAACGGTATTTAGATATAGCAAATCACGTCACAACTGTTATAATATGGCAAATACTTTAGGTGCAGGTGCACAACCTAACACCAGTCATGATATGAGAGAATCTCCAATTTTCAACCTGAGTGTCATCTGCCATCATCATCTTCACATATTAAGGCCTACTTTTCAACATATTTTCCACGAATTTGAACACATTTTTCATACCGCTCTACCAATGAATGGAAGACATTTATGAAACTGCCATTGCTTAAGTGATACAAATGCTGCTAGAGTGCCACTCTTAACCTCATCCAATGAGTAAAAAACATTTTCTTTCAACCCTCCTTTCAACTTGGAGAAAAGGAAGAAAATCACATGGAGCCATATCTAGACTGTATCATGCATATGGTAGCTGCTCAAGGATAATAATAGGGAGAATATCTTGTAGTATTCTTTGTTTCACTTTGATTTCTTTCATGTTCTGCATTTCAGCAGGCATCTTGCAGCAAAAATGATACCAGAATGAGGGTTGCTTGTCTGATGTCATTTTCTTAGAATTTGACATATACGGCCATTGTCATTTGTGACATTATAATTAAAACACAATTAATTGATTGCCTAGTAACAAAGGAAGTAAACTAACATGGTTTAACATTCAAAATTC